GTCTCTTTTATATAAATATTTTTTTCACATATTTTTTTTTAAACTGTCATTATGTTATGACAGTATGGTATGAGAGGTAATCTGTGAAAAATATATTTCCTGTGCTAGAAACAACCAGTCAGAGGCAGGAGACTTTTAGTACTGTCAATCACAATCTCATGTAATGCTGCTCATCCTTCCTCCTCCTCGATTTGTGCCGTGCTGCAGCTAGCATAGCACAGAGCTGTGCAGATTCAAACTGTGAATGCTCAGCTTAGTTAGCATAGCTTCCAATGATGGCAGATAAACGGTTTCTTGTAATGATAAGTTGTTTCTCCACCATTAGCACATTTAGCAGTGAGTGAATGAGGCTAATTGACAGCGCTAAGACCCTCCTACTAGTTCTGATTGGTTGTTTTGGTCAGAATGGTGCATTACTTTAGCCAGTAATAGTAATTCAGGAAGGAGATGGAGGAGATTGATTGTTTTCACAGGTTATCTGTCTCATAACAAACTGCTACGACATCGTGACAGCTTTAACAAATATGGAGAAAACATTTTTTTTTAATTAAAGTTATCTACTGCAGCTTGAATAAAATGCAACTACATAGCATTTTTGAGAAGTCTGGATTGCTTTATGTGTAGTTGCACGTTGCCTTTAACTGTTGCTCATGGAGAGAGACATTTCAGTAATCTAAAACTAATAGTAAAAATTTAAACAACCTACTTGCATACTGGATGTGGACTGTTGGATGTTAAATTCATGAGCAGTAAATATTGTGCTAATTATCAGTATTGAACCAAAGAAAGCAAGGCAGATGCAAGCCTTTAAAATTGTGACGCTTTTTATGGGTCAAATAGACTCAAAAAATTGTAACAGCANATGTAGCGGGGAGGGCGGGAAGGGGGCAAACACAATTTTTGTCAGGGGGCCCATGATTCCTGGCGGTGTCCCTGGTTTTAATACTAATATTAATCATTACTCTTATGAAAAGGTTTTAATGTGTTCAATCTGCAGTACAATAGGCGACAAATAATGACAAGTGGCAAAATGAGAATTTTGCAAAATAGGTCCCCTTAAAATATTGTTTAAATTTCAGTTTGGCTTGTGTTCATAGATTGCTGTGGTTAGTGTCATTGATATAATTTCTGGTACAACACCTTCACAAAATCTTAAAACTTTAAAAAAAAGAACAGTTTTCAAGGAGAATAAATACTTTATGAATAAAATTACACATAAACATTGATTTGTTGTGTCTCTTAATACAAGTGATGATGAGAAATCTAAATTACAACATGCATGCAAAAGAGAAAAATAAATTATGTACATTAACATGTACTGTATTGTACAACATAACAATTAACTGGAGCACAAACACTAGATTAGAACAAGACTTTTTTTCTGCCCTACATTTGAGAAAAGTGCTGCCATTTAACTAAGAGGCTCAAACAAAAGAGCCAAAGACATTTCTTCACTTTTCACTGGGCCCAACAAATTCTTGGCAGATCATTTTAATGTCTAGCTTGTCCTGTGTCTCTTTATGGACATTACAAACAATTCCATTGTTGAGTCTGCCTTGGGTAATGTTAGCTCGTAGCCAGGTCTTTAACCTGCTCTGCTTAGTGCTCTAAAGCTCCCATCAGGTTCACATGAAGACACTGACACCACCAATACAAGTCTGAGGAGGACCTCAACTTGGTCAGATAACTCCCTCACTTCTGCTGGCAACCCCATGAAAACCCTCTACCACCTCTCCAACTGTGCTACAGGGGTGTTTGTTGCGAAAAAGGGGGAACTGAACAGAAAGGGAACTTGTGTTAAGCTCAGGATAATGAGCTTAACATTATCCTTAACATTAACACCCACATTCCCCAGTCAGGAATGTGCGTGCATTCCTGACTGGGGACATTGATGACACCCTAACTTTAGCAGAGTCTTTATGTTGTCCTGTTCGAAACACTTAACAAATTGAACCTCCAAAGTGTCCAACAGTTTAAAGAACTCTGCCCAATCCACTGCTTTGCCAGAAAAGCGTCTTGAATCTGTTTTTTCAATGGAGTCAATGGAATCAAGAGAGTCAACCAATGCTGTTGCTTTTTCATACAACGTAGTGTAGTTCTGATCATTTCTCTTTTCCTGAAGAGATGACCGCACACAGTCAACTGTAACCTGCATACCGGACACAGTCTGAGTCTTTTTTTTTAAAGTGCAATATTTAGGCATTCAAGCTTTCCAACAACAGCAGAGGCAAGTGTGAGGCCCAATACAGTCTTACCTTTGCTGAAATGCTCAAACAAGCCACTGGCAGTTGTAGCTGACCTAGATCTGCTCTGTGCCATGTTCGAAGCACCATCCTAAGTCTGACCACGAAAGCCAGACAAGGGTAGATTAAGTCTCAACAACACATCTGCTACCACCTTTGCAATACCATGGCCTGTTGTTCAGATATTTCGTAAAGCCCAACAAACTCTTCATGTGGTTCAAGGTCATGGTCCACATAGCGCAGACAGACACTTTCTTGTTCAGTGCCAGAAACATCCTGTGTTCCATCAACAATGACTGAAAATTGAACAACAGAATTGGACCTGATTTCATCTGCAATGCCTTGAATTATCAAATTTGCCATGATGTTTAGAATTTCATTCTGTGCTTGGAGGCTTGTGTAAATTGTGGTACGGTCTGTTAACTACTTCAGCAAAATAGGATCATCCTCCTCAGCCCTAAGTCTGAGAAGTTAATACAAATTGCCACTTTTATCAGGCCTCTAAAGGCTTGTCCCTGTCTTTCTATGTGTCTGACAGCTAACAATTTTTTGTAAACAATGTCGTGCCCTCCTGCTGTTTACCTCATGTGCTTGATAACTGGACAGCAATTGGGTTCAGCCGATGTGCTCTCACAGTCACCTAATGATGATGAACTTGGGAGTTTTGGTGCAATGTAAATTTCTGAATGGCTTTTTTCCAGTTTCTGAAGCCTGCACTAATAAATGCAGCATCTGGTTTTTGTCCCAGTAGGGACTGATTTGAAAATCCTTGGATGCAATAAAAATAAAAAAAACTCCTTTCAATGTTGGACTGCAGCAAAGGAAAGTCAACAAACCATTTCTCTTGAAATGATAGTGTTTTTCCACTATCAAGTATTTGTTTCTCAATGCATGTGGGATGTGGCTGGTAAGGCTCTGTACAGTCACTTGGGTCTGAACTTAAACATCCTGCACTTGTGCTGGCAACATGGTCACCCTGTTCCGCTGTTCCCCTGTTTCTTGTGCTGGTGTTCAGACTCTATCCCTGGTTCTGTTCCTGCCACCACTCTCCCTGGCTCTGAACAACCTGTCTCCTAGAATAAAAGTTGTTTTTCATAACTTATAATTATCCAATCATAATTGATAACAATAGCAACAGAATTGTCGTATATGTCTAAATAAAAAAGGATTTTTTTAAATCAACAATATTACTGAAGTTCATAAAACTTGCACAAAACCCAAAAATGTTTTACAAGAAAGCAACTGGACTTCAGTTCTTGTAAATAAGTTGCTTAATTTTTAAACTTTTTTTTTTTTTTTTTTTTTTGGTTTTGCCAAGTCCTGGATGACTGAGAACCTTCCCATCAAACTGCATCAAACTTAAACTTACCTGGGATTCTTTGACCCTGTCTGACCGTTCCTCTCTCTCTGCATCCAGGTCTGTTCTCTGTTGCTTTGTCTAATACAACGATGAAATAATGTCATAAAAACTTAAGCCTTTTTTAAGAAACTTGTATTAACTTAATTTCAAAATGCAGCATTTCCTCCTTACTTGGCATGTTCCTGGTCTAAAAACATATCGGATGTAATTTTTTCTCTTTTCTGCCATGTTTTGACTTGGTTAACTGTTAAAAAGCAAAAACACTGCATGTTACTGCAAAGTAGGGGAGAATAAGCACCTATCAAAATTGAAGCTAATATGCCTAACAGTATTTAATTTTGATTGTTATGAAGGCTGCCAGAAACTTGGGGGGGGGGGTTCTTTTTTTTTTTTTTCTTAGATTAATGGCGCATTTCTGTTTTTTTTTTTTTTTTTTTTTTTTTTGCATTTTTAGATTTATATTATATAAATACACAGTTTTATTCATTGAATTATTGGGGGGGACAAATCCACACTTTCTCAAGATGAGGCGGGGGCGGGGCGCTCCGGACCCACCCAACTCCCCCCGAGGGATTTAACACCTATATACAGGAAGCTTTTTTGTTTTCCTTTCCACAAATACTATTTTCTTTTGTTGATTTCCTACTGTTCACTTCCAAACACTGACTCCAGATCCAATTTTCTGTTTCCATTTTCTCTTGCCAATCAATGAACACAGAGGTGTCCAGTTCCAGTCAAGTCCTGCTGGTTTTAAATGTTTCTCTGGCTCCAACCCAGTAGTGATGGGTCGGTCACGAACATTTCAGCTCTAAGAGACAGCTCTTTGATGTGAACTACAGGAGCTGGCTCCTCATTAGTTGCTTTTCCACTAGACCACCGCTGACCGGTTGGTCTGAGTCTGCCTTGGCCAGATTCAGTTTCCATTTGCAAATGTGGCGCAGCTCAGCCCGGCTGTTCTCAGATTTTAGTACCTATTCCAGGGGTAATAGCAGGACTAATCAGAAGTGTATAGCGCCAATACTATTTGATTGACAGCTGACTGCATTCATTGATTGGCTTGTGATTTACGTCACTGACAACTCCAAATATTATAGTTTAGCTGTGGACTGCAGACATGCTGACTGCTATCAGAGAGCTTCTCAGTACAGAGGAGCAGGTATGACTTTAATCACAAGCAGTGCTAGGAACGTGTGCGGCAAGTTTTGAAGTGGAATGACCGCGATTTTTTCTCTAACAGTCCGGATGGTCAGCAGTAAAAACGAGAGAAAGCTGGAGGAGAATCAGCTTTCTGACGGGGCTGGAGTTTTGCACCAACATCGTAAAACACAGGAACTACATAATATTAGCTGGCGATGTGAATTTTACTTTTCCTTTGCATTAAAAGAAAAAAAAATTCAGACATGGCTATTGGTTTACATATTCTGAGTGCGTTACCTATGTCCAAAAGGTTGCATATTTAAAAAAACTTTAAAAATCAGCCGATCTGAGCCTTCATTATTATGTATGGGCCAGCAATTCATTTTTATAAGACAAAATTAAATATTTGGGTTTTGAGAACATCAGAACCAGTCAGTATTTTTTTTTTCACTGCAAAGAAAGGATTAGTAGATGTGTTCATTTGCTTGATACGCGTATTATAAATGATTTACCTTCTGTTGACCGGAACGCACAGCTTCGCAACTTTCCTCTTGGTCCTCATCTGGAGAAGACTATGCTATAGTTTAGGTCAGGCCTAGTTCAAAAAGATGTTTTTGAAGTTATGTATCAATGCATAAGAGCACACTAGCACATAAATTTATGTGAATAGCAAGTTTGTTTCAATCAGATTTGGTGTACCTTTTTGATCTTAAGCCCTGAAATCCTGAGACTTTTAACTTTGCAGAAGGAACTGAGCCACAGAGGTGGGTAGTCCCTACTTAATTTTATGAGTGTTTTTACGACACTGTTCTTTTTATTCTTCATTGATTGAATTTATGGTTACTTTACCAACAGCAAGTAACTTATGAATGAAGTAGAAACAGCAACAAAAAATGGATCATGCTGCATGAGTGATCCTGGTTGGATGCCTGACGACCCTATGTCATCATATTCTGACATATAAGCCCCGCCCCCTCAGAATAGGAAGTTACTTTTTTTTCTTGGAAAGCTCCATCTCTGACCCCCTTGAGCTAATCAAGATGATCTTGTGTCAGAAAATAGACAACACAAATAGTTTTTGTTAGAAGGCGTGGTCATGGTGGCGTGGCAAATTCAGAGATCACGCCGTTGCCATATATTTGCCTCTAAATTCCACATTTTTCAGCCACGCTGCACCAAACTCACTATGATCGATCTTAGACTGCAGTCCAGTATTTGGTGGACTTGGCCTAATTCCTCCACATCGCCCCCTAGAAATCATTAAAACATCAGCCCCAAGCCATGTTTTGACCAACAATCATGACATTTGTTTTCACCCTATATGTGTAGGGCTGTTGTAAAATAATATTTTAGTAATTGAGTATGCTATAGATTATTTTTATGATTAATTGAGTAATCAGAGATCTCTCTCTGTCTTGCGCTTCCCAAACCCCTCCCAGTCACCATGAATTCATCAAGGTGGAATAACTTCCACATAGGTCACAACTGTATCAGACATATACAGCTGTCATTACAGACCAGCACTGATCACATTCACATACTCAATTGGTTACATCGCCTAACTCCTGGCCCCTTTCAACAGTAATTGTGCTTCTGTGTTTGTAGCCCCGGCCCTATAATGAAGAACAGCTCTCAGTGATAGCCGGCTCTCAGAGCTGAAATGTTTGTGACCAGCCCATCACTAAGTTCTACCAAAATCTGAGAACAATCGGACAGATTTACTGGATTTGCTAATAGAAAATTCATCTGGCCGGGGCAGACTAGAGGCAGACTAGCAGAAAAGCACATTTTGAGCCGAAATGTTTATGACTGATCCATCACTACACCACAATTCCATTCCAGCCCACACACTGATCCAGGGTCCTTTTGTAGTTCTGGCTTATGTTGACTCTCTGTATCTGCAGAAACTCCAAGAAGTTGCTTTTCCTCAGAAGGAGGCGCTGAAAAAACGTCTTCAGGAGAAATACAGCAAAGAGCACTCAGAGTACCTCAGAGCGCAGGTGTGTATGTATGTGTGTGTGGTCCAATCAGATTGCATCAAGCTTTAAAGGGGCAGCATTGAGTTTTTTCCAGCCATATAGCCATTTTAAAGCATAATTGACTATGCTAACTTCAGTTGTTATAACAATCTTATATATATATATATATATATATATATATATATATATATATATATATATATATATATATACACACATACTGTGTGAGTTTCTTTTT